ATTACCAATGAGAGCCTCCTTCAACGGTTAAGTATATTATAATGTTGAGTTTTGGGGGTATCTGATCTCCTCATTTATTTGTAAAAAGCGTTTAAGATCTCAATTGTTCGATGCTGATTTTATTTTTAGTTGTTATATCTACTTGTATCTCGATATTTGTTGATGCACTCATCCGTATATTTAAATGAAGAAAAAAAATCGTATTCACTAATAAAACCGATTTCTTATTTTTACCCAAGAATCAATCTTTTAATATGAAATGTTGTTATTTTGTGTTTTTTACTTTGATACAAGCAATGTCAATTCAAAGACCTGTATCAAAACCCTACATGATAACCAACTCAACAATTGTATCCACAAAGATAATATTTAATCAATGATTTAATTTCTTGCATGGAAAACGTGAACCTGTTTCTCTTTATATGATAATTAAAGTAATAGAGGAGTACTTTCTGACAACACGTTGAAGAAGACTGGGATAATTCGTTGATGCTTGAATCTGATGACGCATCGGGTCTATAAACACTCCTTGCATACACACCCTTCCCTTTGCTCCTGAACATAAGGGGGGCAAACAGTCACCGTTCTCTTAAACATACTCCTAACATGGGGACATGTAGTTACCCTTGCCTTCACTCTTAACTTAGGATAGGGTAAACAATCACCCTTCTCTTAAACATACTCCTAACATGGGGACATGTAGTTACCCTTGCCTCCACCCTTAACTTAGGATAGGGCAAACAGTCACCCTTCTCTTAAACATACTCCTAACATGGGGACATGTAGTTACCCTTGCCTCCACCCTTAACTTAGGATAGGGCAAACAGTCACCCTTCTCTTAAACATACTCCTAACATGGGGACATGTAGTTACACTTGCCTTCACTCTTAACTTAGAATAGGACAAACAGTCACCCTTCTCTTAAACATACTCCTCACATGGGGGTATGTAGTTACCCTTGCCTTCACTCTTAACTTAGGATAGGGTAACGATTACCCTTCTCTTAAACAAACTCCTAACATGGGAACATGTAGTTACACTTGCCTTCACTCTTAACTTAGGATAGGGTAAACAATCACCCTTCTCTTAAACATACTCCTAACATGGGGCATGTAGTTACCCTTGCCTTCACTCTTAACTTAGGATAGGGTAACGATCACCCTTCTCTTAAACATACTCCTAACATGGGGACATGTAGTTACCCTTCCATCCAACGTAATCCTTATAAAGAAGGGGAAAAAGATAATTGTTCTTGTTTAGGGTAGGTGGAGTTTATATGAATTTGGAAAATGTTGCTGTCATATATCCTCTTTGTTCTGAAGTAGTTGTGAATGTATATTCTTCATTATCGACGAATCCACTAAAATCCCAAGATTTGTGAATTATGTGTTATCATATTCAACACTTTTTAAACTTTGCAGAGACGTGTTACCTTTAGATCTCCTTATTTGTTTGAACACACATCGGTTCGAATCAACAGACTTACTTCTCTTTTCTGCCTTGTTCCAATGAATAATACCGAGTCATAACCAGTAGCGATGACACGTAACGGAGCCTCACCTCAAACAGTATGATTAAAGGGACTAGGAGTCAAAGGGAGTAACCATAATTAACTTAATTTATTTAGGAATAATGTAAACCCGTAATTACCTGCAAATTGGATGCGGAGTATTTCAATTTGACATAGCGCGTGCAATTAGCAACCCTGTTCTATAAATATGACAGGCTTTATTTGACAAAACAACTTCTTGGCTTCGTTTATAATGTGGTGCTGCGTAGGCGAGTCCCATGGTAGGCCTACTATATATTGGGTATGTCAAGAAATAGTTCGCGCAGATGATTACTAGATGTTTCTTTCGGAGTGATTCTTTCTTCATTTTTTTATTTAAAAAATACCAGGGTAGCCCATTCAGCATTAAGTTGGTCTCCCATGGAGCCCTGTGATAATATACAAATAAAAGCATAATTGAACGATCAACATCAATATAAACTTAAACATAATAAAGAATCATAAATTAAAAGAAAATGACAAGTAAACAAACGAACAACAGATGGAAATTCCCTAAAATAAGAGAAATACAAACATTATGTAAAAACTAGACTAATATGAAAACATTGGGAAATATTGCATGTGGCCGTATGGCGGACGCAAGAAAATATTAGACATAATTATGAACATATGAACATTGACCAAAGTAACGTTGGGAATGAATTTAAAATAATCATTAAAATTACTGGTCAGAGCTATGAATTGAGAAATGCTTCTTTAAGTGAAATTTAAAGAAATTAAGGGTATCTTTTGTTCTTACTTCAATCGGCAAATTATTCCATAGGAAAGGGCCGTCGTAGCATTATGATAATCTAATGTTCTTTGTGAATGTTATTCTTGAAGTGCAACAAGTACCTATCAATGAATATGGATGTTTGTCAATTCTAATTATAGAGATTATGAGTAGCACTATATGCAATCAACTTCGGCCTATATGTGTTGGTTAATTTAAAAGCATAATACATCAGTCGCACCACCAAAGCGACTCCATAGTGATTCCAGATCGATCGATTCTTTGTCCATTGGAAGCAATGTAATGTTATGTTCAGTCTGTTATCGGTCTGGTATCGGTCTCGTTAGTGTGACTGAGGTATGCACCATGACACTTTAACATATGTATACACTCAGGCGCGTACGCAGGGGGGTGTTTGGGGGGTTAACCCCCCCCCTTGGTATTTGTATGTGTATAAACCCCCCTAAAAAAATTATTCCCATGGCTGACCTAAAAAATTTCGAGACCCCCCCCAAAAAAGTGTCCTCTTACCCCCTCCTCCCCCCGCTTATTCAGCGGCCGGCTGAGTCGTTGCGATTTTTTTGGGACCAAAAAAAAAATTAAAAAATGTCCTCCCCCCCCCCCCCCCCCCCCCCCCCCCCCGCTTATTCAGCGGCTGGCTGAGTCGATGCGAAATTTTCGGCCCGATTTAAACATGTTAACCCCCCCCCCCCCTTGAAAAAAATCCTGCGTACGCGCCTGTATACACTATGAATATGACGGACAAAGAAAGAGGACAACATATAGGCCCGAATTCACAAAGGAGGTTTGTCGTCAAACCGAGGTTTATGTACGTCATATGACGCGTTTTGACGCGTTTTTTTTTTACAAAGCTGGTTTGTAAAAACGCGTCGAAACGCGTTATATGACGCACGAAAACCATGGTTTGTCGACAAACCTCCTTTGTGGATTCGGGCCATAAAGTTCCTCATTCTACCCTTAAAAATCGCTGTGGTAGACAAAGGAACATCCCTTCACTGTTATTATGTAAAAATATGTAGAACAGGTGAATATGCATGTGACACCTGTTCTACACATTTTTACATAATAGTAGTGAAGGGATGTTCCTTTGTCTACCACAGCAATTGTTGAGGGGATAGTGAGAAACTGTATATTCTGTCCTCTTTCTTTGTCGTCATGTTCATAATGATAGTCACCAATCATTCAAACATTTGTTGAAACTATAAAGAACAATACAAAGCTTATTTAATGATTGTAGGCAGGCACGCCGGTACAGTTTTAGATTCTTTGACATTCTTCGATTAATGTTTCCCATTCATCAAAATATTCATGTTCACGTGCAAGGCGGGATGGGATATTTCCATTTTCACGATACCGCATCAGAGATGCTTCGTCGCCATATTGAGTCGTATATGGCAGGCTCCATTCTTGATCAGCCTAAATTAAGTTATCGGAAGGAGTTTCTCTTCCTCGTGTTGTCCAATAAAACCATATCCTGTCACGTTTCTGACACCGGGTCTAAATATAGACCTGGAACTCCCAGCACGGGGTCCAAAATGGCAGGATTAGAACACCTCGAACTTGAATCCGGAACAGGAATTATGTTTAAGGATGATTATGAGATTACAATGGTAAGTGGTATTGTCTCCTACTGGATATAGACTGCTGCCAAATACTTAAACAAGACGACCCACAGGTTACCTCGTTTAACCCAACATAGTTTCCCACGGATGGGACTGTTACTGAAATAAGATGCAGCCATGACCTGTCGAATTCGTGCATAACTAATCTATTCGATGTCATCTGTGTTGATTTTCGCTGAAATATGGGCGGACTTGGATCGATAAAAACTACGATCTTTCTATGATTGTGGTATATATCATTTTGCTCTCGTTCTTTTTAAACATGAATATTATACATTTCCTGTTTATTTCACTGAAGGCATTATTCTTCTCTCATAATTCCGTATTGACCAGTCTGAAATTATACATGGGCCCTATTTCATTTCATTGCTCTCAGCCAATCAAATACCACGATTTTAGTAACTTATAACAGTTGATGAAACTTGTTATTGATTACAAGTTTTATAAAACAGGGTCCAGATTTTAGGAAGCAAGGATTTTTTGCCAATTATGCAGATATTTTACATGATAATTGAACTAAGTTAACATCTTCATATACGATATGACGTCCGCTACTTAAAATAATCAAAATAATTGAAAGGATGGTAAATACCTGATTCGTTCCATCTATTCATGTATTATATAAAATGAACCATTCTAGGAAAGCAGAAATACAGAGTTAGAATTACGAGAGTAAATAATTGGTCGCTACAGATAAATTATGCACATGGCACAACACGTTAGCAGCTCTTCACTGATCTAATCAATACCTTTTCGAAAAACCGATGTTGTAACATCTTTCAGAGGGTGTAGTCGTATATATAAATAACAAGTTTATAACGTCTAGTAAAATCTTCTTTTTAAAAATCAGTGTTCATTTAAAACTCGTCGCAATATTTGATACACTTATTTCAAATAAGAAGCTAAATTACAATGATTATGACTGTAACTATCACTGTAACTATACACTTGTACAAGCATTGCTTTTTAGCGGACCCCTCTGTTTCCAACATGTATTTCTTACATTTGTTTTAAATGCTTATAATTGATTTGTAATGTTTTGTTGGAAACATGAATAAATTGAAATTAAACTTACGTGGTTTGATCTCGAGGACGAATCCGAGGGGTTCCTCTGGATCTTTGCTGGTTCTGGATATCATACGGCATCCATGCAGCGGCACGGAGCCGGCGTGTTTGAAGTAATGAATGCGATCATTGGTGAGTACAAACCAGTACTGTCTCCAGGGGCGGAACGGGATGAGACTGGGGATGCGGCTGATGAGCCAACCAGACAAGATGGCATCCTTGCGGTTGAACGGTGGATTGTCGATGTGATGCGGCATGGTGGTGGTGGGCGTGGTACCTGGATGTTGGGATCGGATGGTGGAGAAAAATAGTTAAGACAAGTTGTAAGATATGGTAGTATTGTAAGATGATAGACGTAATGTTAAGAGTGTAATTAATGTCAATTGTTATTGACTTATACTTTGTATTATAGATTACGTTACTCCCCAATGAAAATCACCATGAAATCTACATAATGTTCCTCCCCTTCTCCTGCTCCTGCTCCTGCTTATGCTTCTCCTCTTCTTCCCTCTCCCTTCCATTCCCCTTCCTCCTCCTCCTCCTCCCCCCTCCCCTCCCCAAGCTCCTCCATAATATATGGTCAAGCATTAATGTTTTAAACCTACTAATGCGTAGTGGTGAAGCGCTGAGAGAATGAAAAAGTTGAGAGAATGATTTGACAATAGGGCTGTATTACAAGATGAAGATGATGATGATTCACAACATTTGTATGGCGCCATTTATCTGTTTAAAAAATATTCAAAGGCGCGAGCTCCTCCAATAAAGTTAGCATTTAAATGTAAGATCATCACCATCATAATGTTCATCATCTTTATATATCACCTTTGCTTAGACAATTCGCTCAGTGTACTTATGAAATTCGATTATAAATTTTGAATTCAATGAAACCGTATAGAGATGGGAGCTGTACACACACCAACAAAATTATTATGAAGTGAAAATAACTCCTAGTACACTCTCATCTATGCGATTCAATGCCTTTTACTTTTGTACTCGTTCAGCACATGGGTCATGCGTAATTGTGCAACCCTGCTAACAAAGAAGCAATATGTATCATCATAATCATGCTCGTCGTTTTGTTTCTTTTATTGTTTCTCTTTTTCTTTCGCTAATCTTTGAGCTAGACTCGGTTCCGGGTTGAAACGTGTGGTATTCAACAACCCAATGCTCGAAATAATGAGACATTTAAAACATTTTTCTTCTCGAAAAGTATAATGCAATCCCTTTAATCCATTTTTCAAAGTTAAGGGATTCGGCTCATAATATGGGGAAGTCCCTGGATCGCATGCTAATACAACTTGCCCAGGAGATTATCGTATAATCTCACAGAAGTCGGTATGCTTTGCCTAGCGATCTCAAAATGCTCTCGTCTTTAGTTACTTAACTTCAATTTGGTATTATTAATGAGAGTTGATGGATCATACTTTTCAGAAGGCATTGATATTTGATCATTTTCATGCCTTATCTGCGGTTAACATGACGGCAACACCAGACTAACCTAATACTGATTACACAGAACGTAATTCGGGATGACAAATTAAATACATTATCTGGAAAAGTGATGATTAAATCTATCACTGGATTAAAACGGTTGCCTGGATGGAGATTAAATTAATCCATCGATTAAGATTATCGTTTGGATTATTGCATGATGATTGCAGAGGCTAATATTACCAGAAGCATTCGAAATGTCTGAACGAGTAATATATTGGGTAATATATCTGACGTGTTCTAGTGTCGTCATAATTTGCATGATAGAGAGAGAGAGAGTGAGAGTGAGAGTGAGAGAGAGAGAGAGGGAGAGAGAAAGAGAGAGAGAGAGAGGGGGAATTTTACGAGTTAATATACAGCCATGTATTACTTTCGAAAAACGAAAGAAGGCTAAATGAAAGGAAAGACACGAACAATATATCAAATGATTCACGCCATGACTATATGAAAATATTATCTAGCATTCTTTATATCGCACAATATTCTCGTAATAATTTGTCTTCTTTCATTATTTTTCAGCTATTTTTAAAATTAATTTCAATTAAAAAAAAAACCCCAGATGTTTCATACTAGATCTAGATCACCTTGATATATCATGTACATAGTAAAACGTATCGGACACTTTTTAGGTCACGAAGTCGGACATTCGAGCTCGTTAAGTCATTACCTACCTAATAAATGTATCTGTAGGACGAACTACTTCTCTTTTTAAGACAACGAAGGTAATGTCTATGGAAGATCAGTGTGATAATATATTCGCCGAATGATAAAGTTGAAGATATCAGATCATGCTTCTCCAATTACTGGATAATACTGATGTCGTTTTTTTTGTTTTTGTTTTTGTTTGTATAGGTCTGGTTTTTATTCTATTTTCCTCGATCTATCCCTCGCCTTTCTCTCGCCCATCCTTTTTTCTCCCCCCGCCTCTCTCTCTCTCTCTCTTTATATAAAAAGCTCCGTCTCTCTCTCTCTCTCTCTCTCTCTCTCCTTCTCCTCTCACTACCCATTCGTCAATTCTCCCCACTTTGTCTATCCATTGTTTCTCTCTCATTGCCCCCCCCCCCCATTCTCTGTCTCTCCTCTTTTCTATTTCATCTCCATCCTCTTCCCCTCTTTTTCACCCCCTCTTTTCACCCCCTCCTCTCCTCCTCTCTCTCTCTCTCTCTCTCTCACTCTCCCTCTCTCTCTCTCTACTATCCTCTCTCTCTCTCTCTCTCTCACTCTCCCTCTCTCTCTCTCTACTATTCCTCTCTCTCTCTCTCTCTCTCACTCTCTCTCACTTCCTCTCTCTCTATTCCTCTCTCTCTCTCTGTCTCTCCCTCTCTCTCTGTCTCTCTCTCTCTCTGTCTCTCCCTCTCTCTCTCTCTCTCCCAGTCACCGCTTCCCAGTCACGATCAGGTCTCTCTATGCCTATCCTCAGTAGCATCGTGTAAACAGGAAATTAAAATATTCCAATAAGTATAAATTGCATCCACTGAGGGAGCGTAATAATTCTGAAGTTCATTCACACTGCCTCCATATTTCTGACATCTCTCTTTGTCAAATATTAGAAAGCTGAACAATGTCAACTTGATATAGTTGTACATACATGTACATAGTGGGAATGATATAAATTCCAATGCCTCCAATACTCATATCGTATAATGTGCAGCCCTGTTTACCCCCCCCCCCCCTCTTTCTTCCTTCATTTAAAACATGATACAAAAAGAAACTATTACGAACAAAAAGAAATTACTATCTCCAGTGTTCATGATGTCCCCCCCCCCCCCCAACAAAAAAACATTGACTTGGCGTGTTGTTCACTCACAACTTAAGGGCCGTGATACCCCCCCCCCCCCCCATCACTATGAACATGGTGGTGTGCCAAATACTAGGTCTGTAGAAACCCTGAACAATGAATGGGCAAATGGTTCCAGTGCGAACTGCCCTTCTAAACCATGACATCATGCCAAGCGACTAGAGGGAACGGCTATACCATGCATACTTCTTTTAGATAGCTTGATAAAGGCCACTGTGACGTCATATTATGATAAATGAGAAATGAGTGTGATTGAGATAGATAGATGGAACGATTTCGAGACTCAATGCCCCTCCAAAAAAAAAATCACCCTAAAATTACCAATTTGTCCAAATCACCTCTCCTAATTTAACTGCACAGCACGCTGATATATGGGAAAGTTCGTTTTTGTTACCATCCCTCCTCTCTCATTTTGTATGAAACAAGATCTGCATATTACTATATACACCAGTAAAGATCAGTTTTTTATACCCCTTGTCCTTCTGATATCCCTTTAAAATCTTGACCCGTAAAATTCAAAATGGGTCTGCAGCGGATCCATGATATTTTACCGCGTTGGGAGGGGGGGGGGGGGGGGGAGGGCATAGGTTTAAAGCTTGCAAAAAATATTCATATTCGGCCTACGGTCACAAGGGCACATTTTTATTTACGTTTTTATTCAGCTGGATTTAAAGTGTGGTAGGTTTTGGTTTCTCAGATGAGGGGGTGGGTGATACTTTAGGGTCCATAAATTCGCCAGTTTGTATGAGTCAAATTCATTTCCACCTTCCCCTATCTACTCTATGATTCCAATCTTGTCTGGTACATTAAGTACTGATTTAGACAAAACTAACTGCCAATTAAACGATCATATATTCTATTTGTTATTAGCATTAAACTTACTTGGTGAAGTCGTTTTACAGGTTAAACGCATTAGCGTCTTGAGAAAGTGACACACATGAATTAAGGTAATGCAGAATAAAGATTACAGTGCAATTTTTAAAACAGCACCAGGCTTATTTCCGCCCCCCCTCCCTATCCTTTTTGCCCCTTCCCTCAAAATAATCCACAGTGATTAGATAATATTTCTCGCATCCATCCGACCATTGGGATATGAATGATTCGTATGGTAATGTAAAGTGATGCAGATTTGTATTCAGTAAGCTACCTGTATCCCATTTTAACCTCTTTCACCTGTTCATCTATCCTGTCTCCCCTCTTTTGCACCCCACCCCACCCTACCCCACCCCTCCTCCCCCCTCTGAGCTCCGTTTCTGCAGCGGAAAGATGGATAAATGAGAATCATTACAAGTTGGCTTCACTTTATCGCGTCCCCTCTTAACCACACTCTCCTATGCATATTTTGTTCAGTTTCGCGGCTTATTTTACACGATATAAAAATTATATCCAAACAGGGTGTCAAAATTAGCAACCACAGCCGGCAGAAGAGATACTGAGAGGTAATTGAGGAGATTATGACGCTTCCCCCCAAAAAATTGCCTAAAGTTTCAGAGTGGTAGAGAAATACTCTATAATACCAAGCATCCTTGCATGCAACTTTACTCAATATTCCATGATGTCCAAGAAATAAATTCCAAGTGATTTTTAAATGTAAAACTGCATGTATTACAACATTTGATTTAAACACTCTTACACACCAAAATAAAGGCTCTGGAGCATTCTTGGGACTTTGTCGGCATTAAGTTTGAAAACAATTGGGCTTATAGCTCTGATTCTAAAGGAGTTGTTTTGTTCCATGCATAAATAACTTGCATTATTTTATAAGGCATAATCTGAGTCATGACGTTAGTTTGACGCACAATTCTTAGAGAGATTTTTTATAAATTATCCATATCTTAATCATATTAATGCTTTCAAAATTACGTTCGCTATCTTAATTTATCGGGCATTGATTTGACAATTTTACTTGAAGGAAAATCAACGTATCACCAATATATCACACACACTGCAAGGTAAATAATCACCACTTCGTATATACATGTACCTT